CCCAAGTAACTCTGGGTCAGCACTTCCCTTATCACAGCTAGATGTCTCAAGGCCATCTGTCCTAAGCCCTTGAGGTCCAAGTCACAGTCACAGTGCCTGGCCACGGTACATGTCTAGTAAGTCAGCTAGTCTGTGGATCCGTAATGTCCACCCTGGAACAGGAAAAAGGGTACGGGTTTGGGGTTGGGCATCAATCCTGGAGTCAAAAACTTGGGAGTAGGTTCCCAAGTAGTTGAGCCTACAGGTATGTATCACTGCGCCTGGCTAGGATGGCACATTCAGGGTTACTGGCCCATGCCATCAGCCTCGGGACAGCTGGCTGACTGGCCCTACTGTAGCCCTCCACAGAGGATTTGGGAAATCCCCTGGAGAAGTGGGAGTGTAGAGAGAGGAGGACACAGCTACAATGACAAATAAGACCCAAAGTCAAAGCCTGGCTCCGTTTCTCCTTTCCTTCCGAGGAAGCGGAAGGCGAAGAGTTAAGCCAAACAGAAACAAGACTCACCACCACACACTCCTCCCCCAGCCGAGCTGGGGAGGCTCTGCGGTTGCAGTGTACAGGAAGACCCTAACACACTGAGATCCACTCACCCTCCTTTCCCCTTGTGCCAGGCCCTGTGAATCATCAGGGATGCCCCCAGTTCTGTGATTCCATGACCTCTGACCCACTCAGGGCCAGTGAATCAGGCCCCACCTGCCCCCTTCGTGCTGCTACTAAACCAATGAGGTCGAGTTCCCAAGGTTACTCCGGAAAGGGCCAGTCATCTTCGGGAGAAAAGGCTCTCTCAAGAAAAGGCTCCCAGAGGGCGAAGAACAAGGCGGGGGGGCGCGGTTTTAGCACAGGATCCTTCAGGCACCAACCCTGCCTGGACAAAGCCAGGATTAGCCTCTCCTCAGCCAGAAAAAGGGACACTTATTTTTTGTCCCACTGATGTGGCAGCTGCCCCCTTGGAGGCTGGGACCCCAAGGCAGTTTCTGAGAGACATGCAGACCTGGAGTCAGGAGACAGTTCTTTAAATCCCTGCTGAGTGATCTTGACCTTACCTCCCCTGAACCTCAGCTTCCTTATCTGTAAAGTAGAGCCAACAAGGTCTCGCACTCAGTGGAACAGGCACAAGCTGCCAGATGTGCTGGATTTTTGGTCTCCCGCACACTGCTCTCCCTTAACAAGTCTAGCTGTGTGAGAGCTCAACTTAATGCAACACGCAGGTACCAAGGGCTACAGCGTGCTGGACACAGTGCAAGTCCTGGGGCCACAGGACCCTGTTCTGGTCCATCAGGGACTCTGGGTCTGGTGAGGAAGACTGGCAGATAAATAATATCATGCTGTGATCAGCGCTTTCAGGGAGGAATGAACAAAGGACCGTGGGCTCCCAGAGAAGGGATCATCTGACCCAGGCTGGAATGAGTGAAGTCAAAAAAGCCACAGGGAGGAGGTCATCTGACCCTGGCCTTGAAGAGTCAGCATCTATCAGCTGGAGGCAAGGAGGGTGGGCATTACAGGCAGGCAAAAGAGCTCCAAAAAAGGCCCAGCCCAAAGGCATGCACCATGGCCCTACCCAGGGGGCCTGGCCCCAAACACCAGGTACTAAGCCTCCAGAGCACAGATGCCCCCAGGCATGGTCCCTCCTGGCTCCCAAGTCAAGGGATGCTTCCTCATGGCCAATACAGGAAAGGAATTGCCAGCCTCAGCAGAGGACGCTGCCTCTGTCTTCCTCAGCTCCGTCTGCCGTTCCCCCACCCAGCCACCATCTACTGGAGCTCTGTTCAGAGGACCCAGCTTTCTGATCTCTGAGCCCACTCCAGCCTCTGCCTCCTTCTGATAAAATCCTCCCCTCGCTTTATAGCCCCCATTAACTGTCAGCTCCTCAGAAGCCACCCCTGGTCTTTTTCTCCCTCTAGTTCCCAGCTCTGTATACATTTCTCTAGATTGAATGCTTGCCATGTAACATGCACACATTTCCAGATTGGTTTTCCCGAACAGACCAGGTCTGAGCCCTTTTCACTCTTGAATCTTCACTCAATAAATCCAGATCCTGCCCGCCGTGTCCTCCACTCTAGCATTTTATTTATTGACAAAGAGCCAGGCTCTATCAAATGACTAGTAAACCACATCGACCATCCTCAGACAACTTATGAAATTAAAAATCATAACTGGTGAGCTATGTTGTCCTTACATAATAGTAATAACTATCTTTTTATTTATTTATTTGAGAAACAGGATCTCACTGTGTCCTTCACACTAGAGTGCAGTGGCACAACCATACCCCACTGTAACTTCAGATTCCCGGGTTCAAGGGATCCTCCCACACGTACCACCATGCTCAGCTAGTTTTTAAAATTTTTGTAGCAATGGGATCTCACTATGTTGCCCAGGCTAGTTGCAAACACCTGGCCTCAAGCGATCCTCCTGCCTTGCCTCCCAAAGTGCTGGGATTACACTGCACCCAGGCAACTCACTTTTATTGAGCATTCTTGTGCCTAGCACTGGTTTAAGACCTAAACCTACAATATTTCATTCAATCCTCACAACCCTATGAAGTAGGGACATTCCTATCTCCCTTTTACAAGTGAGGAAACTGCGTAGCTGACTTCATCAAGGTCACCAAACAGGTCAGAGCCCAGGCAGTCTGATCCAGGAGTCTGTATTCTCAGCTACTATGCTATTATGGACAGGGTGCTACAGGACACAGAGGGGCAATTAACCTTGGGGGTTGGGGGGGTGCAGTGCTGCCTGCGCTGAAAAACCTGTAGAAGGTAGCTCAGCAGACAAGAGAAGGAGGTTTTCTTTTTTTTTTTTGAGACGGAGTCTCGCTGTGTCTCCCAGGCTGGAGTGCAGTGGTGTGATCTCGGCTCACTGCAAGCTCCGCCTCCCGGGTTCACGCCATTCTCCCGCCTCAGCCTCCCAAGTAGCTGAGACTACAGGCGCCCGCCACCACGCCCGGCTAGTTTTTTGTATTTTTAGTAGAGACGGGGTTTCACCATGTTAGCCAGGATAGTCTCGATCTCCTGACCTCGTGATCCACCCGCCTCGGCCTCCCAAAGTGCTGGGATTACAGGCTTGAGCCACCGCGCCCGGCCTGAGAAGGAGGTTTTCAAGCGGCGGGGGCTGGTGTGTGCAAAGTGACGAAGATATGAACAGCAAGGGTAGGCATGGCACATGCCGCAGTGCCATATTATTGGACCTTAGGGTGCACATAGGAGACTGCTAGGTCAGATCACAGAGAGCCGTGTAAATTGTGCTAGGCGTTCAGCACATAGGCAACAGAAAGCCAGAAAAAGGTTATCAGCAAGGAATTGGCACCATCAGACTTGTGTTCTAAAAGGATCACAAGACTTACAGTTTGGAGACTGGGTTTCAAGCTGCCAGGGCTGGACTGTTGGGAATTGACAACACATCAACAGCGTGGTAACAGAAGAGATGGAGTGGGCCCAGTGTGAAGGATGTTCACGAAGTTGGCAGTACTAGGTCACTTTTAAGATGTGGGACTTGAAAGAGAGGAGAAAGTGTAAGGTAATTACCAGATTTCTGCCTGGGTTAGGGTAGAGGAAGAATTAATCTGCACGGAAAAGACCAGTTCAAGTTTGGATCCGGTGAGCTCCACGTGAAGCAGAGCTGTCCCACTGGCCGCTGGATAATCAAGCGTGGAGCTCCAGGGAAGGGCTGCGCTGAAGATGTGGATCTGGGTATTTAGTTGGCGTAAAGCTGAAGCCGTCGGGGTAAATGAGACCACTGAGATTCAGTGTACAGAGCGAGGAGTTGGGTGACAGAGGAAAACGTGAAGCGGGACTTCTGACCGACTGTCAGAGCGGTAGGAAGAAAACCAGGAGACACTGACTAAGCCAAAACAGGGGTGGGGTGGGGGAACGTGTCATTAGGAATGAGTGTCAATGGTACTATGCACCTCTAAGAACTCAAGACTTTAAAGGGCCCTTTTAATATCAATTAGGAAGTTATTCACAGCCGTTTCCAAAGGAAGTTGGGGAGATAAGGGAGGACACTGAGACGCAGACCTACCGGAATGCGTAGATGTTTTCCTCTCATCCCAGATTCCGACCCCTCCCCATACCTGCCCCTGCTCGTAACACCCAGACACCTTCCCCTCGCCTCTCTCCTCAGTTAAGACGGAGGTTTTGGAAGGAGATCCCGAACGCCCTCCTCGGGCTCCCCAGGATAGGGGGGTCGCCAAGAGTCAGTGCTGGAGACCCCGACCCGCGCGGGGCGGAGCGAAGCGAGGCCGGGCAGAGGAAGGGGGCGGAACCTGAGACGCAGCGGGTGTGGGAAGGGTCGGATGGAAACCAGCATAGACAGAGGATGGGGAAGCGGGTTCGACCAACGGGAGACGGCCCTTTCACGCCACCCGCTCCCACCGACCGCTCTGGGACCCACCTGCTCCATATCAGCCACGGCCCCGGCTCTTCCCGCCCCAGTCGCAGTCCGGCTCCGCAGCCTCAGTAGCGCCTCAGAGCGGAAGAAGATCTTTCAGCGGCGCCACTTCCGCCGCTGAGTCTGCCCCTGAGAGCGAAGCGGTACGTGCGTCCGCCTGCGGTTCCGCCCCTTCGCCCCGCCTCCAGCCCTGGCCCTGCGCAGAAGCGGGCGCGAAGGCCGAAGTCTAACTTAAGGGTAGGGGAGTGGAAAGAACACCGGGGCCGTAGTTATTAGGCCACACAGGCCTGGCTGTGAGGGAAAAAGGGGAATTTCCCGAGGGGAGCCCTGTGGGGATGGGGGAATCTTTGGAGGAATCCAGTTACTCGAGAAGGACTTCCCCACCCCACCCACCCCACCTGCCTCCTTCAGCTATCCCAAGCAGGAGCTAGAACTTCTGTGGTTCTTCCTCTGAGTGCCCCGAGCCTGCTGTCTGCCAGAAAGACTCCTAGACTAGAGGATTGGACAGTAGGGTCAAAACCCTAACCTTTGGTTGACCACTGGCCTTCCCTATCAGGATGCCCCATTACCTCCCTTTTCCTCCCGCTTCCCTTGAAAGAGGAGTCTCAGCACAGTTATTTACAAAGATTTATTACAGCACGGGAGGGGTTCAGGCCTGGAGTCAGGGAAAAAGGGGAAGGGGGCAGAGCAACTGGGGGACAAGGAAAACCTGGCGCCCCCTACCATGTGCCCCACTGGGGATATATACTAGGCGGCATTCCTGGCATCAAAGCACAAAACGCAACAAAGAAGTCTCTGCCAGTCCATCTTCCAGGCACCCAAGAGGAGCAAGGTGATTAAGGGAAGACTCCCAAAATGTTGAGGCTGTGGAGAAAAACGCCTTAGTCCTGGACCCTGGTAGAAGCCGGTGAGAGAAATGGTGACTTGGAATCCTCCATAGGAGAGTGGATGGAAAAGGATCTAAGGGTACCTCAAGGTTCTCAGGACCTCCCTTCCCCAGATCTTAGGGTCCTGCCCTGTGGGTCTCCTGTGTCCAGGGGAGAGGATCTGGGGAGAATTGTGAAGGGCAAATCCCTGTTCCCGGTTTTCTGGATTTTCCAGTGCGCGCTGTCTCACATCCCACCTCCCACTGGGTGAGTGGAGGAATGACTGGCAGGGGTAGGCATCAGGCAGCAAGTGCCCAGGTTCTCTGGGCATCAGCCAAAGGTGGGCAAACAAGCAAACACAGACCAGCCTTAGTCTTCTAGAAGTCAGAAGCCGCAGCCCTAGCAGGCGAGGGGAAGGGCACAAAACAGGGTGAGGATAGAGTGGGTTTCTGGGGAGCAGCGATGTCCCCTCCACTTCCTCCTGGGAGATGCAGGCTGGGTGCTTATGTGCCAGGCTCAGAGGGGGAAGGGCGCTGAGGTTCCTCCCCAGGCTCTGAAAGGCAAGCAGAGAGGCACTCAGGGCCTGGCCCCATCCACCAAGATCCCAGCCCCGCCTCCTCATTCCACACTCCCAAGCCTTACCACTTAGTGCTGGGTCTTCCACTTGGTCCTCAGAGCTTCCATCTCTCTCGGGCTCATCCAGAGGGGGTGGGCGCTCCCAGGGCCCCTCCAGACCCTGGCCACAGGTTGTCTTTTGCCCAGCTGGGGATGGGAAAGAGGAGATAAGAACACAGGCTCCGGATAGCCATCTGGCTGTCCTGGAGTGTGAGCTAAGTCTCTGACGGCTGAGGTTAAGCTTTCCAGGGGCATCATGGCAGCATGGAGAGAGCACTAGGCTTGAACAGCTCTCCCAGTGACTAGCCATATGGCTTACATAAGTCAGTTAGTACCTTTCTGAAGGAAATAGTAAGGGGGAAATTGTGTAGATTACTTTAAACAGTAATCTACACAACAGTAAAGGTAATAGTGAATACCTTGCCCAGACCAGCGCCAGCACCCAGGAGCCACCAGGAGTCGTGGTGGTTTATATTGCTCCATCATAGGGCTGTCATTTGAGCCAGTGCCCTGCCGCTTTTGTTTTTTTGTTTGTTTGTTTGTTTTGTTTTTGAGATGGAGTCTCACTCTGTTGCCTGGGCTGGAGTGCAGTGGTGCGATCTCAGCTCCCTGCATCCTCCACCTCCCAGGTTCAGGGGATTCTCCTGCCTCAGCCTCCCAAGCAGCTGGGATTACAGGTGCGTGCCACTGTGCCTGGCTAATTTTTGAATTTTTATTACAGACGGGGTTTCACCATGTTGGCCGGACTGGTCTGAACTCCAGACCTCGAGTGATCCGCTGGCCTTGGCATCCCAAAGTGCTGGGATTACAGGCATGAGCCACTGCGCCCAGCCACCTCCTGCTTTTCCTGAGGGAACAGTCTCCTCTCACCTCTCTTCCACTGTTTTGGAGGGGTCTCAGTAGGAACTGATTCAGCTCTTCCAGCTGTCTCTTGCCCACAAAGGGCCTGAAGCCCAGCAACAGCTTTTGCCCCCATGGCCAATGCCCTCACTGCCAGATAGGCAGGCAGGAGGCCCAAGACCTTTTGTTTGTGTGGAAGAGCTGACAGCTTCTAGTAGGGGTGGTTGACTCTTCATTATTCCCATAAATAATGAGACTAAACAGTTTAATGTACCCTAGGAGGGACAGATGTGGCACAGCCTTCCATGGCCAGGCATGGAAGAAACAACCATGGAAGGGGGTGAAATCTTCCTGCCTAGAAAATCTCTGGGCCTTGGGACTTTTTTTTTTTTTTTTTTTTTTTGAGACGGAGTCTTGCTCTGTCGCCCAGGCTGGAGTGCAGTGGCATGATCTCGGCTCACTGCAACCTCCGCCTCCCTGGTTCAAGTGATTCTCCTGCCTCAGCCTCCCAAGTAGCTGGAATTACAGGCACGTGCCACCACGCCAGCTAATTTTTTATATTTCTAGTAGAGATAGGGTTACACTATGTTAGCCAGGATGGTCTCGATCTCCTGACCTCATGATCTGCCTGCCTCAGCCTCCCAAAGTGCTGGGATTACAGGTGTGAGCCACCACATCCAGCCTGGGACCTTTTGTGGAGTGTTTTGGATCTGGAACATCTGGCTTAGAGGCCTTCTGTTACAGGTATTAGGCCCCTCCCTGGCCCCTCTCCCAGGCAGCTGAGGCTGGAGATGCAGGAGACAGGATTGGTTCTTGAATTTTAAATTCTACATCTAGACACTAGAGGGCACCCTCCCACTCCATCCTAGGAAGGAAAAAGAGGAGAAACAGACCTAACAGTCCTGGAGTGGGCAAGTAAATCAGGCAGCCCTCTGCATCCCAGCAGAGACCACATCCTAGGTTCAAAAATGCAGGTGACGGGGGTGTTGGACTCTCTTGGTCCTCCATCCCTGAATGTCCTCGCACCCCCTTACTACCATAGGTGGGAAGTCCTTTTTTGGCTCTAGCCTCAAACCCCAAACGGCCTGGGCCTTAATTCCCAGGGAAGAGAGGAATTATTAGGGAAAACCAGATTGGCAGAGGGACTGAGCCAAGGATGGAGGAAGCCCATGTCTCAGGTAGGACTGAGTGTGAGGCACCCCATGGAGCGAGAAGACAGGGAGGCCCCTGTGGTGTCACTACAGTTTGCGTGTGTGAGACACTAAATTAGAAGGGGACGTCCCCATATACTCAAGGAGGACCCACACCTAACCCACATGTCACAGGCACTTCAGCTTACCAGACTGCCTGATGACCTTCAGGACTTCAGCCTGGCTGTCCTCTTCTTCCTCCTCTTCCTCATCATCCTCCTCTTCCTCCTCGTCTTCCTCTCTTGGATAACCCAGCTCCCGAAGCTCCCCCAGCTCATCCTCCTCCTCTGAGGCCTGGTTCTCATTCAAATTGCTGATAGACTGTAGGTGAGACTCAGCAATGCGCTGCACAGCTGGCCCAGAGGGGACCCAGGAAGGCAAGGGTCAGCCAGACACAGCCCATGGATCTGGAGATAGTGTGTGGCCCAGCCCCCAGCCTCCTTCCCATAGGCCTGGGACAGAGAATACCCCCTCAGGGGCCCAAGTTCAAAGGCCAAAGGTTACAGGTCAGCCTGATGGGGGTCAGACCAGGGCAGAGGCAGCCAGGGGTAGATTTGATCATGTTTGGCTCTCAAGCTGTCCCAAGATGCTAGCCCCCAGGAGGCTGCCACCAGGCAGCTCCCCCACACCATAGGGCACCAGGCTGGGCAAGACCAGGCGGGCACAGCAGCAGCTTAACATTCCCTGGCTGGAGAGCTTGATTTGCCAAGTACCCAGTACTGGAGACAGTATCTCCCAGCTTCAAGCCCAGGCAAAAGGCACAGGGCGTATGGACCACGGCCTGGGGATTTGCCACTTTCCATTTCTTGGGGGTGCCCAGCCTGCTGAGGGCTCACTGCTTACCCTGATCCTATCTCCCATGCGATGCATAGTCCCCACTCCCTGGCACTGCCCAGTCATAGATGCCAATCCACATACTCCTGCCCCGGGCTCCAAGGGACAGAACAATTCTGAGGCTGAGGACATAATAGTCTGCAGCCAGTGCAGTCTGTGCCTGGGGATGCGGCGTGCTCAGATGCGGCCCCCACAATCTTGACCCACATCCCCAGGTTCCCAGCTCCCTCTGCGGTGACCTAGAAAGCAACCCCCCAGCCTCCAAAGACCTGCTCAGATAGGGCTGGGAAGGGAACAGTGTGTGCAGCTGGAAAGAAGTTTCCAAAAGATGGAAAGGAGCAAGGGGTTAGAGAAAGGGGCCAGGGCCAGGGGTTCTGGGGGATGGCAGAGTTTGAGGGGCCCCTGAGGATAGGCTGCAGGAGGTGGCGGGATCTTAGAGCATATGGGACACAAAGTTCACAATTTGCTGAGGAAGGGCTGGGGGTGGGGGGATGGGGAGTTGCTGCAGCTTCTTCTTGGTCCGCCAGTGGCCCCTCCCCTCAGAAGGCCCAGGGGGGTAGCCCCAGGCTGGAAACCTCTGGCACAGTGAGCAGGGTGCCATGCTCCTGCCAACTCAGGGACAGGCACAGAGGGTGCTTTGTATGTGCCCGCTGCCCCACCCAGCCCCCAGCTCCCAGCCCAGTACCTCCTACTGGCTCTGGGCAAGCTATCCAGGCAATAAAAGCACAATAAATCACCCTGCCCTGACCTTGGGGACGCAGCAGAGCTTCATTTTGAGCCAAGTGTGAGAGCTCCAACCTTGGAGTACAACCCCTCAAGCCAAGACTTAGTGCTGGGCCCTCTCTCGAGGGCCCTCAGTTCTTCCCTGACAAGCCCCAACCCTGCCAGGCACCTTCCCTTGCCACAAAGGGACCGAAGCCTACAAAACAGTGCCCTCCTAGTAGAGAAGGATCCATGAGGGCTGTGGGGGGAGGTAACGCAGGAGAGCAGGTGGCAGCCCAGGCAGCTTCCTTCTCCCCCAGTGGGGGAGGAGAGTTCACTTCGTGAGCCACAGTGACAAGAGAAGGTGTGTGCAGCACCTGCGCTGGTGCCCCGTGAGCCTCCCTTGCCTCCCCCACCTCCCTCATGCTTCCTGGGCTCTCTGGGGTCTCCCCATCACTCCTTCCAGGCTGTCCCCTTCTCTGCCCCACTCTGGGAGCCTGAACTCCCCCCATCCCAAGTCTCCCTTTTTCAGCTTGAAGGTCCCCAGCCTAGCCCCAGACTGGCCTCCCAGCTCTTGATCCCTTCCCTGCCTCTACTCACCTGGACTCTCCTAAGATGTGGTCTAAAGGGGCAGTTGGGGGTGGTGCACATTTTTGGCCACTGCATGGTGCATGGTAGCACCCTGGCCCTAACATCTTCATCCCGGCCTGTTCCCCCATGCTGGTAGTCAAGAGCCAGGTGTTCCCCTCACATCCACCCAGCCTCTCCCTGCCCAGCCCAAGGTGGGAGGGAGAGGGATTTCTTAAATTCTCTCCTGAGAAGATGCCACTTTCTCTTTCATGCCTGCTTTGGGGCCCTTCCACACACCCCTCTAGGTGGGGAGGTCCTTCCGGGTGCTGAGCCACACTGCCCACTTGCTGCAGCTCTGACCTTTCGTTTTCCTGTACTGGGGAAAGTGAAATAACCCCTTCCCTTCTCTCCTCCCTTCCCAGCCTGTCCTCTCTGTTCCCAACCCTGGCAAGTGGGCTGACAGGTACACCTGTTGACCTTTGCTGGTGCTGGGAACTTATTAAACCCTCCACCGAAGCAGTTCCCAGCATACTCTTCCAGTAGCTCTCCCTCCCAACTTCCGGATGGGGCTGGCTGGGCAGGAAGAGCCCCAGGCAGGAGTTGAGGTGGGGGTTGGTAGGCATCAGGGCTTAATCAGGGAGAGGGCCTCCTGTCTCCTTCAGGTATATCTCCCCAGCTCCCTGACTAGAAACCAAGCCTCTTCCAGGTTGGCCCAAAAGTACCCCTCTGACTCGCATCTCCTTTTCTTTGCACACCTTCTTCCATCTTCCTGGACCTGGGATGCCCTTGACTGCCTGTTAAATTCCTATGATCCTTCAAATCCAAGCTTAAACATCTTTGTGTACCTTCCTTGACCCTTTTTTTTAATTATTATTTTTTCCTGAGACAGGATCTCACTCTGTAGCCCAGGCTGGAACACAGTAGTGCGATCATAGCTCACTGCAGCCTCAAACTTCTGGGATCAAGCAGTCCTCGTGCCTCAGCCTCCCAAGTGTCTGGGACTACAGGTGCGCACCTCTATACTTAGCTCACTTTTTTTTTTTTTTTTTCTTGAGACGGAGTTTTGCTCTTTTTGCCAAGACTGGAGTGCAATGGCACAATCTCGGCTCACTGCAACCTCTGCCTCCCAGGTTCAAGTGACTCTCCTGCCTCAGTCTCCCGAGCAGCTGGGATTACAGGAATGCGCCACCACGCCCAGCTAACTTTGTATTTTTAATAGAGACGGGGTTGGCCGGGCGCGGTGGCTCAAGTCTGTAATCCCAGCACTTTGGGAGGCCGAGACGGGCGGATCACGAGGTCAGGAGATCGAGACCATCCTGGCTAACACGGTGAAACCCCGTCTCTACTAAAAAAAATACAAAAAACTAGCCGGGCGAGGTGGTGGGCGCCTGTAGTCCCGGCTACTCGGGAGGCTGAGGCAGGAGAATGGCGTAAAAACCCGGGAGGCGGAGCTTGCAGTGAGCTGAGATCCGGCCACTGCACTCCACCCTGGGCGACATAGCGAGACTCCGTCTCAAAAAAAAAAAAAAAAAATAGAGACGGGTTTTCTCCATATTGGTCAGGCTGGTCTCAAACTCCCAACCTCAGGTGATCTGCCCACCTCGGCCTCTCAAAGTGCTGGGATTACAGGCGTGAGCCACCGCGCCTGACCCACTTAGCTCGCTTTTTAAATTTTTCATAGAGATGGGGATCTCACTGTATTGCCCAGGCTGGTCTCGAACTCCTAGGCTCAAGCAGTCCTCCTGTCTTGGCCTCCCAAAATGCTGGAATTTCGGGTGTGAGCCACCTTTCTTGGCCCCTCCCTGACCCTTTGAGGCAAAGGCAGGGACCAAATCTGACTCATCTTATTCTGCCCAGTGCCCACCAACTCGGCCTGGCATATACTAGGTGTTCAGTAAGTGTGTGCAAAAGGAATGGCTTGCTTTTCCATGGAGAAAGGGAAGCAGGAAAGAGGAGACCAGTGTGCAGATCTGTGCAAATGAGATGCAAATGGGAGGGGAGGCCAGGGGTAAAGCCCACAGGAGAAGGCGCCCTAGATGAGCAGGGGTGGGATGTGGTCCAGCACAGGCTGGTGAAGAGGAGCTGCAGGTGGAGTCCCTTCCACGCGGATGCCTGCTGTTGTCTTAGGCCAGCCATCTCTTTTCTTTCAAGCCCACAACCCGATGTTAAGGCCCACAGCTGCCCATTGCAGCCTCGGGGCTCCTGTGTTTTGCAAGGCCAGACTGAGAAAAAATTGGTCTTTACGTGGGGTTGTTGCACCACACTGACAGAGGGCTACGTGTGGCCAAAAAAATCCCTCCCCACTGACAAAAGCTCCCCCAGCGTCTGCCCAGTTCCAGAGATCAAGGGGACAGCCAGGAAGGTCGGTGGGGGGATAGTACCTTTCAGCGAAGGTGGTGTGTAGGCACAGGGGTTGGGTCTCTTCGACTTGAGATGGTGCCCCTCTCCTGAGGCTCTCTGCCAGGGGAAGTGCCAGGTTAAAGGGGCTCAGCAGAGGCCCCTTCCCTTCACCCTCCCTCCATTCCATCCCACCCATGGCCACCCAAGCGGACTGATTTCGCCGCTGCTAATGGGTCCTGCACCTAGGCTGAGCCTCCCCACCCTGTGGCTTTGGGAGGGCCCCCATAAGCCATGGCCTGGTTTAGGGCAGGATTCTAGGTCCTGGAGGTTCCACCCTGAGTCTGAGCAGAGGAGGATCTGCTGGTGGCACCTGGCATGAGGCACTCTCAGAGGACTGCCCATTGATATGCTAATGTGTCCTCTTGGGTGGCACCCCATACTGGTTGGTTGTCACTGCAGGCACCCGTCCACCCCACCCCAAAGGGCCCAGGCATCCCTCCTTCCAGCTGCCCCAGGAAACTCACCTGGTGGGGGGAGGCTTCCTCCTCTGAGGAAGGCCACCAAAGCCAACCAAACCGGAACCGAGTGAGGAGGAAGAGGAAGAGAGATAAAGAATCCGAGTTATTTTCCCCAGGGTCTCAATCTCTGGGGACAGGGAAAGTGTGCCCTCTCCCTTCTGAGGCTGGGAGGTGTCATGTCAATAAATAAAGCCAATAGAGTTGGGTTCCCAGACCTTATCCACTCCCCAGTCTCCTGCTCTGACTCCTGTTCGTGGAACTTCTGCAGGGCCCCTAGGAAGGCATCAGAGCTAGGGTGGGACAGGGGCTAAGTGGACAGGGAGGGCCCTACCTGGTGAGGAGTGCTCTGAGAGCCGGAACAGCATGGCAGGCGTTGGTCTCCTGCGCCGGATCTAAGGAGAAGGAGGGAGGGGTGACAAGATAGACCCCTGCAGCCCCCCAGCCCACCCCAGATAGCAGGGAACAAACAGTGCTTTGGAGTCCCTGGAGAACCTTTGAATCAAAGTCTGTCAGAGCCAAAAGGAACTCTGTAGCTCACCTAACCCCCTCATTTTATAGAGGTGAAAAAGCAGGGCTCAGAGAGGTTTGGCAGTGTCCTCAAGGCCACACAGCACACCAAGTCCAAAGGACAAGAAAAACCCCAGTCACTGACTCCCAGGCCATGCCTTTCCCACTCCATGGCTACTCCAGAACAGACATTTCCCTTCCTGTCTTCTCCCACCAAGGCCCTTCCTCTCCCCAGTTTCTGAAAACATCAGACCTCGGAAAACATCAGACCAAAGCTGGCTACAGCTGCAGCTGCCAGGGCTGGGCCCTGGGGAAGATGCCCCACGGGTCATGGCACCCACGTGGCCCTGCCCACCTAAGGTCAGTTCAAGGGCTCCAAACAAGCTGGATCCAGCTTTTCAGAAGGAGACTGAGCCAGGGCACTGCAGGCATCCCCCACCTCCAGCTGAGGCTCAGGGACCCACAGGGGCCTGGGGGGGACCTCTCTGGGGGCCTGGGTTTGGGCTTCTCTGCCAGTCTCTGTAAGGCTGCAGAACTCTTCACCCAGTCCTTGTGAGAAGTGAAAAGTTGCCCTCCTGCTACGTGAGCCAAGCTGAATTGGGGGGAGGCGGGTGCTGAGCACTCCCAGCAACTGACCCCCCACCCCTCAGCTTGGCAATCAGACCAACTGTCAGTTAATTAGGTCCCTGTTGAGCTCCAGGGAAATGCACAAAGAGAACCAGGTGAGTTAAGCTGAAACTGCCACCTCCCCTGCCAAGCTCCCCACAACACCCTCCCAACCCAAAGCTGCTTAGGCCCAGGGCTGTACCCCCTGCCCTCTATCTCTCCCCACAATGACTTGGCCCCCTCCTCACTGCTTGGTGGGGAGCCAGCTGCATCTCAGCAACAAGTGACCCCTGCTCCACTAGGCATGGGAAGTGGAGCCCTCTGTCACAGCACCCCCCAACCTTTGGAAGCCCCTCAGCCCCCAAGAAGGCTCTCGGGAGGACTCAGTAGTCTGTAGGAAGATGTCTGGCTTTCTGATGACTTGTCACCTCTCCCTCCTTGGGGTTGGGGCTCTGGGGCCTGACAGCAGGAGGTCAGAGCAAGGTTCTGGCGACCCCAGCCCAGGCACACACGCGGGACTAGAGAGGGACAGGGCAGTGGGGTCACCCGGTGGCAACCTCACACTCCCGCCCTGGGTGGCGAGATCAGTGTCCGCCGCTGCTCACATCTGACCAGCTCTGGGCTGGAGCCAGGCGAGCGGTCCCGGTGGTAGCCTATTAGACTGACTACCCTTTGGGGACTGTGCTGGGACCAAAGGACGCCCCACTCCCGGACGGTCTGGAATCGGCCTGTCCCCCCACCCCCGCACCCCCAGCCTCACTGCCGGGAAGTCTCTGGCCCCGGGATTAGGACCGAAGCCGCGGGAAAAAGTTGCACGAGTCTCCAGCTAACTTCACACGCGGCCCCGCACCCAGTCCTGACCGAGGCAGAGCCCGGCTCCCCTTGCGCCCCCACCCCCAAGGCCAGTCCGGCCGGGGCAGCTCCCTGCGAGTGCGAAGAAGCCCCGCGGGGTGTGTCGGGGACACTGCTGGAGTGGGGCGCGGGCCGCTTACCATCTCCACCTGGCGGGGGTCGAGCTGGCTAGGGGGCGCGGGAACCGAGAACTGGATCTTCTTGCGGTCCTTGGGGTCCATGGCGCGTGGGGTGGGCGGCGGGGCTGGGAAGCGCGACTCGGGGTCCCGGCGGCGGTCTGTGCTGGGCTCCCCCGCGCAGGTGGCGGGCTGTGCGGCGGGAGGAGGAGGAGGGCTGTTCGCTCACGGATAAAAATACCGCGCCCGCCGAGGGGAGGGCGCGGAGCGGGAGGAGGGTCGGCGCCCGGGATGGGCGCGCCCCCAGGCTCTCGGGACTCTGGGGTCGCCCCCCGCGCTCGCTAAGCCGGGTCTATGCCTCGCTCCCTCGCACTCCCCGGCCTGGGTGTCTCTGCGTCTCGGTGTCTCTCCCCTCCGGAGTGTCTCTGCGTGTCTCCTCTCTCTGCCTCTCGCGCCCTTCTCCACCTCCCTCCCTCAGCCTCTCCTCCTCTCCGCGTGTGTCGCTGCCTCTGCCAGGCTCACCCCTCCGGTCCCCGCTTTGGGGTCCCCAGCCCGTCCCCTCCGCCTGGGACTGGCGCCCGGGTGCTCGGAGGGAGGGCTTAGAGGAAACTGGCCAATGAGCATGGAGAATCGTGTTCTCCTAGGGCTGGGAGGAGGGTGGGAGTTAGAGCCAAGGCCGGGGGAGCCGGCTGGGGGGCCCCCTGCGGTCTCCCCAGAACTTGAAGCTGCATTATTGATGGAGTCCAGCAGAGAGGATAAAGGGGGAGGGAGAGAGAGAGGGGCAGCCGGGAGGCAGGACTCTGGCTTTAACCCCTTCGTGGTCCTGGCACTGGGAATTTCAGGGAGGCCTGTGAGGTCGTGGGGAGAGTACCAGCCTGTCACGCTGTGAATGGGGGTGTCCTGGAAAGGCAGCGAGTGTGACCGAGTTGTGTGTGGGAGGACACGTGTCAGTCATCGTGGCAGGGAGAGTGTGCAGGGGAGTGCCGGGGCCCTTTGGTGCCCATAGCCTGGGAGTGTGTGTTGGGGGGTCGGTGTGGTGTGTGTCTGTGTAAGTGTGTCAGAGTGTCAAAGATGCAGGTGTGAGTGGCAGGATGTGGGAGGACTGCGTGTGTGCAGAGGAGGGTGTGGGTGTCGGGGAGGATGTCAGAGGCTGTCAAGGTGATGGGCAGGCGTGTGCCAGCTTGCAGGGAGTGGGGGACTGTATCCACAGCTCCCGCCGTGCAATTGCTGGGGGTATGAGGTTGTGAATGTGTGAGCGCTCCTGTGAGGGAGAAGGGGAATGCGCCCTGCCATGATGTACCCTGGATTCACGTGGCTCCTGTCTTTCCTCTCCAGATCTAATGGGGTGGGGAGGACAGGACCGACCCAGAGTTGGGCGGTTTGGGGGCTGCCTATACACGTGCCATCACATGCGTGAATTTGGTGCATTCAGAAGCAGGGTTGGGGGAGACAGGTGTGAGTCTCTCTCTCTCTCTAGAGGTGTTTGTGTGTGTCTCTGGAGCAGGAACAGGAGGAGCTGGCCCTGTGGGTGGAATGTCCCTATCTATCTGTCCGGGCCTTGGGTACCTTTGCGGGAGCTGCTGTTTCCCTCCTTGGGGCTGCGCAGGGGGTCTGAATGCTTCTGTCTAGCACTGAGAGGGTGCGTGTGTAGGCGTGTACATAGCATGTCTTCCTGGGGCTCTGTTTGTGTTGGCATCCTCTGTCCTGGTCACTCTCAGGCCTGAAACTGCCAGGAGCCTTCCCTACCCCCAATCCTCCTGCGGCTTTTCCACTCCCAGCCCCAGCATCTGGGTCCTTGGTGGAGTGAGAGGCAGAGGAATCTTCTGGAATTGGGATCAGGGCCCACTCTGGGGGTGAGGGAAAGAGTGGCAGGAGGGCCAGAGTGTTGCTCACAGGAGCGGGATGCCCTGGCCACCCAGCTCCGCATCGGCCAACCCCAGGCCTGGCTCAAGTCCCCGCATGTTTGTTGACTTATATACTTGTTGGGAAACAGCCGGATGCCAAGTTGTCGGCCCAGGGGTGTAGGCATCTCTGGCAGCCCCTAGCTTGGCCCAGAACCTCTGTCGAAGATGGGGTGTGGTGGGGAGTGGCAAAGGCCAATTTGGCAGTGCCTTGGGAGGGTAAATAAGGAGGCCCTGAAAGGAAGAAGGGGTACAGGAAGGGCATGACCCAGGCAGTGGCCCGGACAGCCACAGGGTGGGCAGAGGTGGGGAAGGGGCTTGTGGCCAGTGCTGGTGGTGTGGGGAAGGATCGTGGGAATGAAGGGGACAAAGGACAGCTGGGAGGGTGATGAGAGGATGGAGACAGGGAGGCATGACCACCAGTTGCACCTCAGAGCCTGTCGGAGCTGAAAAGGCCTCAGGGAACTTGGCAGCTGAGCCCCATTTGAGCAGGAGGGCTTATTTACGGAGGCTCTGCTGAACTTACTGGAGCTCTGGGAGACCCCAGATCAGGAAACATTCCCTGGATCCCAGGCTGGGGCAGCTGAGAAGGGAGATGAGGGCAGAGAAGCCTCCCTCTCAGCTAGGCCTGGAAGATGAGGTCTTTGGGAGCAGAGGGACGGTGTTTGCCCATCTCCCCCAGCCTGTGGCCAGGCATCCACACTTCTGGCATCTAAATCCTGGGGCCAAGAAGGGTGGGGAAGACTGGCTGACAGAGGGACAGACACAGGGGACAGACACGAAGGAGGAGGAGGAGACTGCACAGAGACAGGACGTGAGAGAGAGATTGAAGGGAGAGAGGAGAAAGCAAAGAGGGACAGAAAACATGGTTGAGAGATGGAGAGACAAAGGGAGGCAGAGAGAGAGAGGGAGCCTCACAACGGAGAAAGGCAGAAGACAGAGATGGAGAGAGAGTAAAAATAGCTCAGCATTAAGATAATTGCAGCTCACAGCTCTGCCCTCCGTTAGGAATTAAATTAGGTTTTATTACTTTGATTTTTCTCTCCTGGATCCTACGCGACTTCTCAAGAACTTGGGGAAAAGTTTTTCAGGTGGGCGGCCAGGTGGTGGGGGCTGCGTGGGCGACAGAGGAGGAAGGGGATGGGACTCTGGGGAGCTGGGGGAGGGGTGGGCAAGGGCAAGGAGTGGGGAGGGGCTGCTGGGGACAGTGGAGCCCGGCAGGGGCTGGGGGAGGTGGCCAGGACCAGGCACAGGGTGGGGGTGGGAGGGCGCTGAGAAGCAAAGGGCCAGGGTGCCCTGCATTCACTTTGACTTAAAATTAATCATATGCAAATAAGATGTAAAAATAATATGCCACTCCTTGGTTATTATTCTTGGGTTAGAAGCACAGGCGGTTGGGTCCAAGGAACAAATTCAAGACCTCATTTGACTTAACTCTGATTGAACTGTGGGTCTCTCTGCTTGGACTGACAGAAAAAGTTGGTGGTAGGGTGTCTATTGATGTACCATAGGTCTGAGTACACTATTTTGAGGCGTTTCTTTCCCATCATGTATCTTCATGCCATTGCTGGATGCCTGCCACGGGGCCTGGCGTGCAGGAGGCCCTGCATTCACCTCTGGAGGGAAAATTTGGGAGGGTGGTGTGAAGCTTTGCCCTCTTCCCCGGATGGGGGGAGAAGGGACACTCGGATCTGTCCCCCACTCCTCCCAAGTAAGATGTGTTTACCTGGACAGAACATCAGCTGGGAAGTCCCAGCCCTGGGTAGGAATTTCAGATCTGTAACTTACTGTGTGAACTTGGACACATTTCTTAACTACTCTCTGTGCCTCAGTTTCCTTATGCTTCAGAGCCCACCTCACATGGTGGCTGTGACGATTCAATAGGAAGAAAAATAAAGCCCCCGCCAGGGCAGGATTCCTGATAGCCCTTGATCGAGTTTCCGGCTTCCCCAGAGCTCTGGGGATGCGCATCCAGAAAGAGCCGGCAGGTGGCGGAGTCGGCCAGGGTTTGGGTAGCTACTGCAGGCACTGCGGGTCTGGAGTTGGGCATCATACCCGTGACCTTGACACCACAGAGCTGAGCTGGCTGGGTTGGCATGTGGCAGCTGGAAGGGAGGCCCCGGAAGTCCCAGGAAGCACCCTGAGAGGAGCCGGGAGTGCTGGCTGGGAGCCCTGGGCGTCTTTCCCTGCCCTTGGGGGAAGGGAGAAGTGGGGACGGGGGAGGAAGAGGAATTCCAAGGCCCACCTCCTCTGGGGAAGGCCGTGTACCCAAGAGGAGAGGGCAAGGGCACCCTCCGTAGGAGCCGTGGTGGCACCAGGAAAGGTGGACAACAATCTGAGATGCTCATTTACACACGGACTCATTCATTCATTCACCCGTCATCCATCCCTTTGCCCATTCAGTACATTCACATTGGGTGCTTAGGTGCTTTGTTCCAAATTTTGTTGAGTTACAGTTTGCATACAATAAAGTGTTAAATATACATTTCAATGAGTTTTTGGAAATTTATATAGCATTTGACCACCACCACAATACAGACATATAATGTTTCTGTCACCCCAGAACGTTCGTTTTTGCCCCAATCCAAGTCAATCTCCCTTCTCCACTCATTGGGTGTATCATAACTCTTAGCACACTATTTTGATACGTGTCTTTCTCATCAATTTTTTTTTCTTTTTTTTTAGAGACAGGGTCTTGCTCTGTTGCCCAGGCTGGAGAGCAGTGGCGCCATCACGAGTCACTGCAGCCTCGACCTCCTAGGCTCAAATGATCTTCCTGCCTCAGCCTTCTGTGTTGCTGGAACTACAAATGTGCACCACCACACCCGGCTAATTTTTTTATATTATTTTTTGTAGAGACAGGGTCTCACTTTGTTGCCCAGGCTGGTCTGGAACTCCTGGGCTCAAGAGATCCTTCTGCCTTGGCCTCCCAAAGGGCTGGGATTACAGGCATGAGCCACTGTCGCCGGCCGTCATCTCTGTTTACATCATCACCAACCTGCCACAGTACCCAGAATACAGCAGGCACTCCATGACGCCGAGAGGATGCTTTGAGAAGTGAATGAATAGATGAATACATGAGTCAGAAATTGACAACGGTGACATATAGGGAGCCTCTGTGCTGGGCACAGGGCTAGGCCCTTCCTATGCACTCTCATTTAATCCTTGCTGGTATCCTTCCAATTCACAGATGAGGCTATTAGATTCAGAGAGGTTCAGCAGCTTTTGCCCAGAGCCTGGGTTCAAACGCAGACAGTCTAACTCCAGAGCCCTCCCGCTTTAACTGCTGCTTTTAACACGTTCAGGATGGACGCGTGGAAGATCGCGTGCACGCACTGCAGCGGGCTCCTCTCTTTCTCTGCCCTGGACCAGGTTTCTCTCTCGCTGAGTCCCGCCAGTTTGGACCGTTCTCGGGAGCAGCAGAAATCAATGTGCGGAGGCTGCCCTCTGGTGGCACAAACGAGTACAGCCGCATATGTGCCCTCTGGCGCCCCCAGGTGGGAGCTGGGAGGTTGTTGAGAAGAGAGCAAGCTGCAGCCCACAGCGGGGGCAGCCTCAGCCCCCGGCACCTGGAGACCCCCTGCTCTGGCCACTGCCTGGTGCCCCCCGAGGTGCCAGCTGAGGCTGCCCCCGAAGAATGCCAGCTGCCGGAGCCCGCCGCCTCCCACTCCCTCCACCAGCCTCACACACACTCCAATCCCGGTCCAGTCGGCTGCTTCCATTCCCTGAAGAAGAGGCCCTAAAGTTAAAACAGCTGTTAATTTATAAACCAATTTTTCCGTGACTGCTTAATAAATCGCCAGCAGCTGCTCTGCCCCGTCCTCCTGCCCAGGCACCCGGCCCCGGGGGCTGCATGGAGAAGCTCAGAGCCGCCAGCCTGCCCCTCCTGCCTTCTTCCTCCAACCTCTCCAGCTTGCCCCCATTCACCCAGAAACTGGGCAACTTGCGGGGCGGTGGGCGGGGGCGGGGGTGTGGACCTTGATGAACCCAGCTTCTCTGGTCTTCAGTGCAGTGCTGAGACAGGGATGAGTTTTCTTTCCTAATGGGCTGCAGCCCAAGGGCCGTCCCTCCGTAAGTCCCACAACCCCCACATCCCACCGGCCTTCCAGGTCCGGAAGGTGGGTGTCAAAGGTTTCTCTAGTTCTGGGGAAATGAGGGTGTCCAGATTCCCTGGGGAAGCCCCCCTGAGCCACCAGGAGGTAAGGGGATCCTGAGAGCACTGGAATCCCAGTGTTCTGTCTCAGGGTGGACCCCCTGACAGATGCTAACAGACTCCCTGACCCTGCTGTGCTGTCACGGGTGGGCTGGGAAGAGGCAAGAGAGGCTGGGATAGCATCCTGTTCTGGA